CATCTTTATTTCAAACGACCTGACCGACCGCGACCCGAATTTTATTAAAAAAATATATTTTTTTAGTGATTGGATCAATTTTTGCATCACTGGTGCGCTGAGACGTTGGATTTTCTAACCAGATCCCTGATCGTGGGCTCTTAGTGGTGGTTGCAGCTCGGACAAATAATAAATGACTCTTCAAACTCAAAACATTCTTGTGATTAGTTCCTTATCACATGTTTCATTCAGGAAGTGAGTGAAAACGTTTAAAAGCTTTGCAAGGAAGAAAAGCCAAAATGCAGAAAACAATTCTTCAAATGTTTAAAAGAAAAGACAGAGATAATGAAAACACAAATGCTAAAGTCAGAAAAACATGTATGGAAAAACATACATATATTTTCCATACATGTATTCTTACATGTATGGAAAAACATGTAAGAGAGATATAAAACGATAAATTGATTAAAAGATTGTAGTACAGGTGTTCTGTCGAAAAATACTACAGTACCTATCGAGATGTGCTATCGAGCCTTTCTGCGCATGTGCAGTTCCACCGTCTTGGGATTAGGGTTAGGTTTTAGGGGTTAGGGTTAGGGTTAAGGTAAGGCTTTTAGGGGTTTTGGGGGGTTAGGGTTAGGGTAAGAGTTAGAGTTAGGGCTATCGATTAGCACTACGGTAGCATTTTTCGACAAGGCAGCATATATCGACAGAACGAAAGAAAGAAATGAAAATTACTTTCACCCCTGGTTATTAGTATATATTATTTTTTAAATATATTATTTTAAAATAATATATTAAAGATAACTTTTGTCCCTAGTTATTTTTAAATAAATATATTATTAATTTGTTCAGTTTCGTTGTAGTATTAGCTAAAAATTGAAGAAATTTTTTACCAAGACTTACCATAAACTATAAGAGTCATCCCAGGTCTTCCACTCCATCTTACTTTATTATCTTTGTTCATGAACCTAACTGTATACACACCAGCATCTTTATCTGTAATGTTCTTTATCTGTAAGGTGCAGTTCTTCTCTTTGTTCCCTAAATATTCTGCCCTGTCTCTGTATTCAGCACTAATGTGTGTATTACTGCTGTGAGAGACGTACAGCATTTTATCACAGTACTCATCATCCTGACACCACATGACTGTCTCTACTTTAAATGAATCTGGATATTTAGATGAACAGGGAATCACCACAGTGGAACTTCTGATGGCACAGAGTGGATTTCTTGAATACTCTGCACCATATTCGCTACCCAGGGCCCCTGGAAAAAATATTAAAAAGGCAACATTATATAAAAGTAAATTTTAAACGGTTGTTTAAGGGTCAGTTGCAGTGTTTCCTTTGGGGAGACAATCACTTTTTTCTAAAAAAAAAGGCACATTTGAAGTTAAATACAGCGGTACCTCAGTTCTCAAACTCATTAGAACCCGAATTTCTTAAAGGTCGAACCAACCAGTTCGAAGAAAAAAAAAAAAAAAGACCTAGAACTCGATCTGAATATCAGAAGTCGAACCGTGAACGCCAACCCAAGATAACTTGTACGCGTGGGGAAATGAGTCATTCTGCACGTTTCTCAGCGGAAACGAAGGGTAACGCTTCAGTCTCAGCCTCACATTCGCTGTGATAGCATCCTGCATGTTTACACTAGCTAAATACATATATTTAGACAGTGAAAATACATTTAGACAATGATAGACAGTAACAGTAATTATTATTATATAATAAAATATATTTAAAAATAAAGATTTCTTATTAATTATTTTATGCCGAGCGGGACAGAACATGTCATGATGTCGGGGAATATGGGGTTTAATTACAGGTAAGGCAGGCAAAACGCAGACGGGCAATACAATGACTGGGCTGGGGAAACAAACTGAAACGCGGATGAAATACAGAGGACTAATGACAACAACCAGAAACAGCTGATCACACAGGGATTCCACATGGGGTTAACGAGGGGGCGTGGCACACGGAAGGAGCGGATGATCGGGGCAGGACACTGTCACGTTCAGCTCCGAACGCTCCTCGTGTGTGCCACGCCCCCTCATTACCTCATGTCGAATCCTGATTGTCGTCACCTGTTCCCTATTCCGTTTGCCTTGTCTTATGTATTTAGTCCTAGTCTCAGTCAGTCTTGCCAGATTCGTCATTGATGTTCGCTGTCGTGTTTCCCCGGTCCTGTCTGTCTGCAATAAATCCCAGGTTTTACCCTGCTTCCTGGCTCCGATCGCCTGCTTTCCGGCTCGCTTGCCCCACGATCGTGACAGAATGACGAATCTCCCCCAAACGCTCAGCGCTACCGGGGAGGAACTCCCCCTAGAAGAAGAGGTCATCTGGTGGACCAACATGCTAGAGCTCCAAGAAGATCCAGTAGCCCGCCCGCTCGTGGAAAGATGTTGGGTCCTCATGAAAAGGAGGTACAATATCGGTGAGGAGCAGCTGCGTGTAAAGGTGGGAGAACACCTACAGCGGCTGAGGGAGAGAGTGGCAGTCTGGCTGTCCCCTCTGGGAGACGCCTCCTGGGAGCCGCCCCCCGACTCACCACCTGCCTCCTTCCCGGTCTCTAGCAAGACGGCAAGGGCTCCAGCCTCCACCGCACAGCGAAAGACGCCTCTTAGGCAGCGCAAGACTGAGCGTAACGCGGCTTGTGCCGCTCAACCCCCCAGCTCTGGAGACCTGCCCTGGGTCCTAGAGAGCCCCGCTCTTCCTAGAAGGAAGAGGCGCAGGGGGAAAAAGAGAGCCGACCCGACGCTCTTTCTAGGAGCGTGCTCACTTCTCCCCGCCTGGGAAGACGCCGTGGATGCAGCCCTTAAAGGGGCAGTCCCAAGGACTGAAGGCCACACGGCCAAGGTACCTGCTGCAGCATCCCACAGGGTTTCTGAGCCACAGCTCTGCCTGGAGGATGTCAGCAGGTTTTACCTCCTGCAGGAGCAGTACTGGCGGGTGGTTGGCGAACCCGCCATAAAAGACTCCCTGGAGGCAGCTCCACTCCTGGAGCAACTCCGCAGGGAGTTTGCCACAGCAGCCCCTGATTCCCCACTCCAACAGCTAGCCCGGGTGGAAAAAAACCCTGAGGCAGCTGCTCCGTCTGCAGCCTGCTGCCGCCGCTCCTCCTGCGGCGCCCCCTGATGGCCGCACGTTCGCTACGCCCGCGGCACCGCCTGAGGTCGCCGCTTTGTCCGTCCAGCCCGGCTCTCCTGTCCAGCCCGGCTCTTCGGACTCTCCCGTCCAGCCCGGCTCTCCTGTCCTCCCAGCACTGGACCAAGTCCCAGAGGAGGTCCCGGACAGTAGGACCCCTGCTCCTTTCTCCTCTGAGGAGGAGCTTGAGTGGGACCCCTCGGGGACCTCCCTCGAGACTCCCTCACCCTTGCCCCGGCAAGGCCGACACCCCCCAGGACCCCGCCTGTCAGTATCCCGGAAGGGACGGGGACACAGGCGTCAGGCCTGGGTCCCGCCCACCCTGCCCCCTAGCTCGCCCTCGCTCGCTGTGGCTGGGGCTCGGGGCGCGCCTGCGGCTCCTCCGGCTCTGGGTCGGCGGTCGCCTGCAGGTCCCCCTCCGCGGCATCGTCCCCCGGCCTCGGTCCCACCTCCGACTCCATGTCGGTTGCCTCTGGGCCCCCCTGCTTCGGCAGGGTGTCGGACGGCGCCTTCGCCGGCTACACCGTTGCCTGCCGCAGCTTTCCCCTCCTGCCTGCCTTCTTTGGTGTTCCCTCCTGTTCCCTCCGTGTCCCCTCCGTCTCTCCCTCGTCCCGTTCCCTCGGTCCCTGTGTGGTCCCCTCTTGCTCCCTCCTCCCTCTCCACTGTGGCCCCTCCGGCCGCTGCCCATCGCCCGCCTGGGCTCCCTTGGGCACCCTGTTTTCCCCCTTTCGTTTCGGTCTGGTCCCCCCTGTCTGCTCCTCCTTTCTTCGTCCCACCTGTTTCTCCTCCTTGTCCCTGTGTTCCTCCTCTGTGCACTCCTGGCCCCTTCGTGTCGCCTGTGGGTGCTTCCTCCGTGTCTCCCTTCTCTGTCTGTCTGTCCACATTTCCGGTCTTGTGTGGGGTTTTGTCGTGGGTTTTGCCCCCGTGCCTGTTTTGTGCTTCTGTCTTGTTCCCAGTCCCTCGTGGAGTTTCTGCTTCTGTTTTCCAGCTCCTGTCCCTCGTCTCGTCCGTCGCCTCCCCTCGGCCGCACTCGGTGTGCACGCCTTTGGAGGGGGTTATGTCACGTTCAGCTCCGAACGCTCCTCGTGTGTGCCACGCCCCCTCATTACCTCATGTCGAATCCTGATTGTCGTCACCTGTTCCCTATTCCGTTTGCCTTGTCTTATGTATTTAGTCCTAGTCTCAGTCAGTCTTACCAGATTCGTCATTGATGTTCGCTGTCGTGTTTCCCCGGTCCTGTCTGTCTGCAATAAATCCCCGGTGTTACCCTGCTTCCTGGCTCCGATCGGCTGCTTTCCGGCTCACTTGCCCCGCGATCGTGACAGACACATTGTTTGGATACATTTATTTTCTTACTTTACAAATTACTGTTTTGATAAATGTGCTTAGATGTGTTTAGTACAGTATATGCTCTTCTTGTTTTATCCAGTTCATTTTGTGTTTAAATGCTAAAAAACAACATATTTACTTGTAATTTTTTGGGACCGGGAACCAATTAAGTGGTTTTCCATTACTTCTTATGGGGAAAATTTGATCAGAACTCGAACTTTTTAGGATTCGATCCTGAGTTCTGAACGGATTAAGTTCGAGTACTGAGGTACCACTCTATTTTAAGGCTAAGTCCCTTAATCTTACTGGGATAAAACTGATTAGAGTTTAATTACATTGTGGAGAACTAATCTAAACAAAAGATGATATCACATTCTGAGCTGTTAGTTTTCTTGCCTGGTAAAAAGACAACAGTTAGTATCCAGAAATTCAGAGCGTACTGAAGTCCCATCTCTGCTGCTCTTCTTTCTGACACACTGTCTGTTCAGGGACTGTAAAACTAATATGTATGAATCACCCCACCCATTTTGCTTCTTAGAACTATTTACATACGTGTTAGATTGGATGCCTTCTTATATCTGCATCAGATCAACTATTTCTTCTTTTGTTAACATTCTCTGTGTTATAAATGTCTCACAAATACATTACAACAGATTCATTACGTATAAGACAAAGTGTTTATGGTCATCACATCAATTTATGCAGTGAGCAAAAGGTATGATGAACTGGCATGAGATTAGAATGTAACTTAGACTTTTCTTGTTTATTCATACATAAATAATAGTATAATACTGCTTTATTTGTGCCTCATCAAGTAAAGTGTTACTAATTTAACCAGCTGTCATATTTTGCTTTCTTGTCTTTTTTTTTTTTTACTTCAATTTAATCCAGTAATCACACAACCTGATGCAAAGAAAGCAAAATAGAAGCAAAGAGAATAGGTCTAATGTCAATGTACAGAAGTATTTGAAATATATTTCTGCTAACATCTGCACTATTTAAACTCTCTGCTTGTCTTTTGCTACAGAACAACATAAAAACTGACACAGGGAATGAACCAGGAAAACTGCTACACAGAGTTACAACACAACATTAAAATTAGATTAGATTACAACATATTAGATTAAACTTTATTGTCATTGTACAAAGTACAAGTACGCAGACAACGACATGTAGTTTGGCATCTAATCTGAAAGGTGCTAAGTAGTGCAAAAGTGTTAGAAACAGCTGCAGGGTGTGATACACCATTAGTGAATGTGCATCCATTCAGTGGTATACAGGTACATGGCACAGCATAACTAATATATATACACTATATTGCCAAAAGTATTGGGATACCCCTCCAAATCATTGAATTCAGGCGTTCCAATCGCTTCCATAGCCAAACAAAGAAAATCACTGAATAAACTAAAACCACAACTAAGGAACTCAGCAAAACAGAGGAACAAACACACAGTAGCATTCACAATGACAGACTGAGGAGCAGGACAAAGGCGTGCACTTAAATACACACAAGACATCAGGGCAAACAAAGGACAGGTGTAACTTCACCTGTCAACTTAACCAAGGCAGACGTGATTAACTACAAACAGATGGGGTGGAATGCAATTAACTAATCACAGAACAAGGGAACTCCAAACACTTCATACTACCAAACACTGAAAGCTAACACTAGGAATAACTAAACGCCAAAGAACTTGGAAACATACAAGACACATGCAGGATAAACCAAACAGGATCACAATGATAAACCATAAAAGATAAAGGAAAAAACAAAAGCTAAGGATAAAATAAAACCCAAAAATAAACAAACAGTGAGGCAGTTCAAAAGCCACCCTCAAAGCAGAAACTGGAGGGGTGACAGTCTTGGTGCCACATGCTCAACCCACTGAGCCATGCATTGGCCCAGGGAACAAGGCAAGCACAATAGGGACTAGTCCAGTGACAGAGGGAACAGGATGGCCAGCAACACCTGCTGGCCAAATGGGGAGGAGACACAAAGGGCAGGATCAGACAGTACAGACCCTGACAGGAAGAAGGGGAGCCTATTAAGGTAAACATCTAACTACAAGAAAAGAAGAAGAAGAAGATCCTACTGGGATAAAACTGATTAGATTTTAATTACATTGTGGAGAACTTTAACAAATTTAATCTAAACGAAAGACTCTGTCACATGCTGAGCTGTTGCTTTTCTTACCTGGTAAAAAGACAACAGCTAGTATCCAGAAATTCAGAGCGTACTGAAGTCCCATCTCTGCTGCTCTTCTTTCTAACACACTGTCTGTTCAGGGACTGTAGAAGTAATATGTACGAACCCCCCTGCCCCCCTTTTGCTTCTCAAAGCTATTTATATATATGTTAGATTGGGTGCCTGCTTATTTCCTGTTTCACTCTACAGATCAACCATTTCTTCCTTTGTTAAGATTCTGTGTGTTATTAAATGTCTCACAAATGCAATCTGGTGAATGCATTGAAACATTCACCAAATACAGGACAAAATGTTTTTAGTCATCAAGTAATAGGATAATACTATATTATGTATGCACCGTCAATAATAATAATAAAAATAATACTCGATAAAACATATTGCTATCATTTAATAATCTAATAAAACATATTTGGGGATGAGATATTGCATGATAGCTGTCATTCCTCAAGTCTTCTGAAAACTACAGAGATACCGAAGAGCAGCTGGTGACGTATTTCCGTAATTTACTGGCTGGGTTTACACCTCAGGACCACTCAATTTTGTTTTTTTTGCGTTTTCTTTTTGTGTGTTTGTGTTTTGCACTTCAAAGATGCCAATTTTTGTTTTATTTCATGTTTCTTTTTATCTTGTCATGTTTTGCACTTCAGAGCTGAAAGTTGTTTTCATGTTTTCTATTTGTTCTTTTTTTTTTTCTTTTTGTTTTTGTGTTTTACACTTCAGTGCCACTGCAGTACTAGAAACAACTGCACAATATATAGGCCTACGTGATGAAATAAACCATTAGTGAATGCGCATCCATACAGTGAACATAAGAACATAAGAAATTTACAAAGGAGAGGAGGCCATTCGGCCCATCAAGCTCGTCCCGGGTTTTGGGTATACATGGCATGGCATAACTAATGTATATACTAATAATGATGCTGCATGATGGCAGTAAAAAAATAATGTATAGAGTTCTGTACAGTCATATTTTGTGGTATACCCTTTACAGATAGGTCCATATTAACTCATTCAACTAGGAGTCAAAAAAGGAGAAGAAAAGTTTTCCTATCTAGCTGCACTGGAAGACTTTTCAGAATGAGAATTTTCACACATTACCAAGTATGCAAATTGTCTCGAAATTCCTGATGTCTATAGAATATCTCTGCAATAGAATCACAGCTGGAAATGTCCTAAATGCTTAATGTCAGCTGTCTACCTTCTGGTTTCTTTTTTTAAATATGACCACAGTTGTTCTGCTGCCAGTACATGTGTGACGAGGTCAGGCCCAGCTCCAGCTTCCTGTGACAGGGTGGGGTAGCGCATGTAGCACTGTGTTACATGTTGCAGTTATATAAATATATATTCAGAAGATACAAGATGCAAGCAGAGTGCATTCATATTCATATCTTTGTGGGGACTCTACCTTCATTTTTATGGGCATAACCCAAATCCCAACATCAATGACAACAATCGCTACCCAGCCCGAACCTTATCCATAAGTAACCAAACAAAATGTAAGACTTGTCATTTTTAGTCATTTGATTGCAGTCACGAATTTTTATAAAACTGAGTTTCCCCATATGGGAGCAAGAAAGGTAGTCCCCACATTGTAATATACACTCACCTAAAGGATTATTAGGAACACCATACTAATACGGTGTTTGACCCCCTTTCACCTTCAGAACTGCCTTAATTCTACGTGGCATTGATTCAACAAGGTGCTGAAAGTGGTTATTTCAGTCAAAGTTGCTCTTCTATCAGCTTGAA